TGGTGATGGATGACTTACAAAAGTTGTTTTGCAGTGATAGAGGAACAGTTTACTCTGGTCGTGCGTATAAAATTCCTGAATGCACCCGCACAGCTGCTGGGACGCCATTGGTTCAGGTAATTTACCCTTTCTCCTTGGCTTTTACTAATCAGTCACCCTTTTCTTGACATTCTATTAAAAGTTACTTATGATTGTCATTGTTTTTACACTGGAGCCAGATCTTAGCACTGTCGGATGGCGAAAGGATTACTTCTGTTATTCCTGTGAGTGAATTTGCTGAAGATCAATTTCTACTTATGCTTACAGTAAATGGCTACATAAAGAAGGTCTCTTTGAGTTCTTTTTCGTCAATCAGGTCAACAGGAATCATAGCAATCCAATTGGTTTGTCCTCTTTCTCCGATTTAGTCTTGATTACTGGTCATCCATAAAATTTTCTTTTGGCTCACAGCTCATCATTTATGTGACAGGTTCCTGGTGATGAACTAAAATGGGTTCGTTGCTGTACAAATGATGACCTTGTAGCAATGGCTTCTCAGAATGGAATGGTCATCTTAAGTTCCTCTGGTATTGTAAGTATACAGCAATTTCCTTCTCGTTCATACATTCATTTGCAGTTCAAACCTCTATGACATTTTTCAACTTTTACAACTACTACTAAAACTATTAATACTATTTTTGTTATTACTAGCACTACTACAACTATTTTCTTTCTCCTCTCTGAGGAGGCACTGTAGTTATTCATGACCATTGAAAGAAGATCATTTTATTATTTAAGTCCAGAACTTATTTCTGATCAGTGTTTGCCTGAAACATGATTTGCCACATTGCAACAGCAAGAATCGGAGCTTGCAAAACTGCTAATTTTTATTTTATTTTTTATGCAAAACTGCTTTGTATAAGGTGGTGTAAGCGTACTAACAATATGGTTAATTTACACTACTTTAAAATAAGTTTGGATATGATATGATAGGGTAATGTTAAGTAAGGATATGATAGGGTAATGTTAAGTAAGATTCATCATATCATATAATCATATAGAAAGAAAGTTACAGGAAGAAATATGAGGATATACATGCGATTCCAATAGAGTTCTGAAAAAAAGTTACCTATGATTGATTTTGTTTTCTTGTTCACATATTAATATCGTTAAATCAATTCCTGTAGTTTGTTTGTATGTACAGAAAGCATTGATTGATACAAAAGACCGCAGAAGTGGAGTGCAATTTGGAAAGTTTATGTGCTTAACAAAATTGTATATATTTTGAAAGTAATAAAATAAAATTCTTGACCAAAAAAGAAGTACCTAAATGATTTCAATGATAGCATGTTGTAAATAGTTTCTAGAAGACTTATGCGGGTCATACTGATGCTACTTCTGAGATCCTAGTAAAAATCTCTGTTTAAAAGCTGTTTTCATGTGAGTCATGCTTATGCTACTTTCAAGAGATGCAAGTAAACCAATGTCCCTATGATTAATTCTAGATGCATCTGGATCATGATTACCTTTGATCTAAGTCATCCTTCTGTTATGTCAATGCGCTTTATAGTATATAACAGTTGAATTTGGAGCTTTATAGTTTATAGCAGTTTTTGGAGTTCGGTTGTCTTATCAGTGTTTTAATTTTTTAGATAGCCTTCATGGATAGCTTTTTATCATTTTTTCGTTATACCGGATGACAAGTGATGCCAAGGGCTGTGCCGTTACTGTTGCTTAGTTCAAATATAGGTTAGGGAAGTTGTAAGAGTTTTTTATCTGGGGAATTTATCATCTTGTCTAATGTGACTAGTACATGGCTAGTACTATCTGTGCTCCAATCCGTGGTCATTCAACAGAAAATTTATCTAACATTGATGTAAAAATCCCTGAAGGATACTTTTACTTACCATTTTGCATCTTTTCATGTTCTGTACCAGATTCGAGCACAAGGGAGAAACACTAGGGGTGCTGTGGCCATGAGACTTAGAGAGGGGGATAAGATGGCTAGCGTGGACATTATACCAGCAGCTATGTGGAAAGACTTGGAGAGGGTGTCTGAAGCTCCCCAAGACGCGTAATTTTCTTTAGAAATAAAATTGAGTTGTTTCTAGCTTGTTATTAACTAATTGTTGATCAGCGTGATACTTGACTTTAGGGGGGGTTAGCTTGACCGACCAAAACCTAGTAATAAAATTTTCCTGGATGTTTGGGTTCCACCAATCTGAGTGGCTTCTCATTTAATCAAGAAAAGGGAGAGAATGTTGACAGTTTTGGGCAATCTGTAGTTAGAAAGTGGAAGTGATGGTGGGATTGAAGGCAAGTTAGATTAAGAAATAAAATAAACCAAATTTAGGGTAGGGGTTGATAAACAAACAATCGGAGGTAGAGTCATTCGACACGAGTAGGTCATTTGTACTATAGACCTACTAGTGGGCTAATTACCGAGAACCAATAGTTTAAATTCAGCAAACAAATGGCTGGAGGGAGGTTAAAAATAGCATGGGTTAAAGCTGTAACCAATGATATAATTACCATGACCTAATGGTGAGTTGACCCTAGTTATTGGAATCAATAATTCTCCAGAGCAGTGTAACCAGAATTATCTGATATGTTAATCTTATGTTTTGTGTTTATTTTTCTACAGTACTAGAAGTCTGAAGGGCCCGTGGTTGTTATTTGTGTCTGAGAGTGGATATGGAAAGCGTGTTCCCTTAAGTAGATTTCACTCCTCCCGGTTGAATAGGGTTGGTCTGATAGGTTACAAGGTATGCATATAAAAAAAAAAAAATTCTTTGTTGAAAGCTTTGTGATCTGTTCTTCGTCTTCAGCTTTTGGGCTCATTCCTTTTTCCCTGCTCTTTAATAGTTTGCCTTAGAGGATCGCTTGGCAGCAGTTTTTGTGGTCGGGTTCTCTGTGGCAGGTGATGTTTGTAAATTACTTTTTAGTCTATACTCTGATGGCTACGAGTGTTCTCTGGAGCCGTTTTAACTTGAATGTAAATTAACAGAAGATGGAGAAAGCGATGAACAAGTGGTTCTTGTAAGCCAAAGTGGCACAGTCAACAGAATTAAGGTGCGGGATATTTCAATACAGTCCCGCTATGCAAGGTAAACTTCAATTTTGGTATTTTATTTCCTTATGGTCGGAAATTTAAATTTAAATACGATGGAACAATAGGATTTGCATATTTGGTGTTAAAAAGTCAAATCCTTATTCTCTCTTATTGTGGCCGTGGTTGAATCATGCCAGTATTACATACTTCATATCGATATACATGTTTTCAGGGGAGTTATTTTGATGCGGCTAGATCATGCTGGAAAGATTCAGTCCGCTTCGTTAATCTCAGCAACGGACGAGGAGCCTGAGGAGGTAGAAGTTGAAGCTGCCGTACATGGCTAACTGTTAATCTTAACAAGTGGATAGCTCTTAGCAATAGGAGGATCAACTTGTAGCGCCAACCCTTGTTTTTGTTTTGGCCGGTGTTGGGGCGCTAATCAATCGTTCTGTTCTGGCCGGTTTTGTGGCGCTAATCAATCGTCTTGTGTTGGCCGGTGTTGTGGCGCTAATATGTATGTACAGGTAAGCTAAACCACAAATTTGGTGACCGGATTCTACCGAGAAGGGTGACCGTTTGTACCGCTAAACCCTAAGGTTTCTCCACGGTGGTAATGTATATCGGTCATTTGGTAAGGGTGTCCTTGCTTAACCTACCCTTTTTACTATTTTCAGATATCAAATTTTACCCGAGTGGTAAATGACAATATTACCCTAGGGTAAAATGGTTAACAAATACATGAGATTAAGGAAACCAAACCCACCTTGAGAAATACATCATATGGCCCTAAAATTAGAGATTAGCGAGTGACTTACTTGGAACGGATTCACTATCATTATGATGTTTCCGTTGAACAATGTTTTAACATATGTGAGTTTTTCTCTATATGGTAATGTTTATTGAAGGATGAGACTAAAAAGAGTGAGAATCATTTCTCTTTTTATATTGCGACACCAAGATTGAATACACAAAATACAACCTTTGTCAGATTTGGAGATCGGAAACCAAAATCTCCAGCCAGCCTGCTGAAACATGATCCATGATCAGATTGAATTTTGAGCGAATCTAACACGACCCAACAGTTGCCCTATTTTGATGGAAATTTTGCCGCAAAAAATGTGCTCGTGATTATTTGAACAAAACGATTTGTTAAAACAAGAAGAGAGTAATGTATGACAAACAACCATCTGATGTTATCAACTGATAATTTAGGCCATGCTATTTATACAAAACATCAAGAATCTTTCTAGTCACAATAACTTGTAAGAAGTTGTTAATTTTCTCCTAAACTTTTTATAATTAGCCAATTTCTTCTTACATCGGTTTTAAAAAATTTCATCTAATTTTTCATCTCTTTTTGTCACATGGCAAATGTGTGAGGGTAATAAAATAATTTATCCTTAATACAGTCAGCATATTTTTTTTCTTCTTTTTTTTTCACTTCTACTAGTTGACTCCGTATACTTTTTATTTGAATTAGTCATGGGGTTCCAACTTCCAATTAGTAGATGTAAGTATTGGCATTGCACCCAGCTGCAAGTATTATCATTCTTGATCAATTGGCTATTGCTTTTAGGTGATGATTTTAGTCTTTCACTCAAATTTTGTTCCAATTATTTTCATGTCCAAACCGAAAAACCTGCCCAACCCAATCCGCATAACAATGGGTTGGGTGGATTGGATTACGTGTTTTTTTTTGGACAAAATTTTGGATTACATGTTTGAGAGGCTGAAAATGGATTCTAAAAATCACTACCCGAGCCTATTGGGTTGGCCAACGGGTTTGGGCCCAACCCGGACCGACCCGCCCATTGCCCACCCTATGTTGTAAGCATGATGGATGGAAAATTGGATAAAAAAAATTTCACAATCTAACGTCATGGGGGGCATTGGCTATTTATAAAAGTTCAGGGGATTAATCGGCTAAAATTAAAGTTCATAAAGAAAATTGGCAGCTCTATACAAGTTTAGCGGACAGGTCGACACATAGGTCTATAAATAATGTGAAGAAAGAGGTTAGCTAAGCAATGAACCAAGTAAAAGAGAAATTAGATTGTTTATAAGTTGAACACAAAATATCAATGGTACGACCAACATCCACTCCTCCACTGTTTCCCGATACAAAAGTGGTGTTTTGCATACATGCAATTGCAAAGAACGTTGGTCTTTTGTGCTATGATAGCTCAATTCTTGGAACATAAGTAACTGCTACGTTTCTTCCCATTACCTGCAACATTTGGAAGAACAGAAGAAAGCATAGATTCAGAACATTCATGTATGGCACTCGGAAAATTAAACAGTTTGTAGCTTGAACTTCGTATGTGCTGCACACGAGGAAGTATATACATTTCACTGAGCAAAGACATAAATACTGTTATTAAAACAATCGAGAAAGCGTCAATCTATCCTCATTCATCATTACTTTACAAAGTTTTCAAATATCCTCCACTATTCCTAGATCATATTTTATATGCACCAAGTGTATGTCTGGTTAATTTTCAGAGTTTCAGACTATAGTTGTCAGTACCGAGAAAAGTATACCTACATGATGAAACATGTGAGTTTCCACTACTCGGTTTCAAGGGCAGCAATTTCATATCTGACTTCTTCCAAATGCTCATTTATAGCGGTCACAGCATCCTGCACCCCTCTAATGGCCTCCTTGAGATCATTATCATACTGGGCATTCGCTTCTGCTTCTTCAGTTCCGGCAGCTTCTGTTATCTCGTGGAGATGCACGCACTCATGCTCCATTGGTCTGTTAAATCTGCAATTTTCATGACTCACCAGACGCTCTGAGGGTCTACCAGCCCTCTTCAACACCTGAATTGTCACCGTCTTTAAAACACAAAAACAACCAGTATGCTTCATGTCAGAAAACAATGGAGACAAATCTTGCAACAAACAATATAAGTACAAACATTGCTCACAGTAGCAGAAGTGCACCAAAGATTGTTCCTTTTTCTTCATTTCTATTTATACAAGAAATATTAGAGGAGGGGAATTCGCACACAAGACCTTGAGTAATCGTTCTTAACTGCTTGAGCTACGAGCCCTTTACGTGGATCATGGGGTTCTTTATCTAGTTGTTCTATAACTATAAGGCTATAAGCATCTAATTAACTTGATACCAACAAAGCAAAGCCTGGCCAAATTATTTGAGCGGCAATTACACATGATAATATGAATTAAACAGAAAATTAAATTAAATTAAACAAAACTGGAAGGATATGATGAATTAAATTACCAAATTCAGTTTCTGCTTCTCGTGGGTCTGAACAGCTCTGAGGAGATGGGCTAAATCAATCCGGGAGAAATCGGGATCGTTGAGGAACAGCGATTCGATCCGAAGAACTTGCTTCGAGCACTCGTTGAATTCGAGCGTCACCTCACTGCAAACTTGCTGGTACGCCAACTCCGCATCTACTCCCGACGACGGCGGCGACGACTCTATATACTCCCCAAACCCTCGTTTCAGCTTGGCGTAGGCCTCCGCCCTCCGCTGCTGAATTCCGAGGAACTCGCGGAGCAAACCGACGGTTTTTGTTTTAGATGCCACACTTTCGTCTTCCATTGGGTCTGTGATTGATACCTTCTTGTCAAATTCTTCCATGCTCGGATCGGATAGTTCTTCCTCCTCCCTTTTGTCTTCCAGGCCCGATGGAATACTCACATTTATTCTCCCAAATTACCTTCCAAAATTTCCACGCAAACTCACTCGGGGAAAATTTGGGCTAAATGCTAAATGCTAAATCAAGTTCAAATTTCCCTTAGAATTTAGCCCATAAATCGGTGTGGGCTCCACCGAACCGAGTGAAAATATTTATCGGAATTAAAATTTTTTTTTATTAAAATATTTATAAAATTAATTTACGATAGTCTATATATTTATTTATTTTAAAAAAAATTAATTTAAGAAAAAAATAGCCTAAATTTATTTTTTAATAATCCCGGGCTAAAATTTTAGGCTAGAACGGTTAGAACAGAAAAACTGCTGTTTCTGGGCTAAAAACTAAATTTTTCGGGCTAAAATATTTGGCTTTTAGCCAAACCATTGGAGATGGTCTAAGGGGTGTAGTCAAACTAAGATTTTAAAGGATTTTAAAGGATTTTAAAAGTGATAGATTTGATAGGATTTAAGATGATTAAAGACTCTTACAAAATTCATATGGATTTTAAAGAATTTGAAATCCTAGGAGGTGAGGTTGGATTTTTTTTAGTTTTGGTTATATATACTTTTTGCTTTCAAAATCTCACAAAATCCACAACTTTTTAAAATCTTTTAAAATCTTAATTTTTTTAATACACTTAAATTTAGATGGATTTTAAAATCCTTTAAAATCTTTTAATTGACTACATCTAGATTTTAATGGATTCTACAACCCTTTAAAATCTTTTAATTGACTACATTAGAATTTTAAAATATTTTAAAATCCTTTCAAATCCAAGTTTGACTACACAGTCAAGACATCTGAACCCCATTTTGCAATGCTGAATGCACTCAAATGAGAAATGCTAAGAAGAAAGACTCTTGGGATGCCACGCCACTTTATACAGTCCGCTGGTATTGGGTGGAATAAAATCCCGAAATTTCCAAACTGAACCGAACAAATCTCAAAAGCATACCGAAAACGTTTCGAACAAAATTTTTTGAACCGTTCGGTATCCGATTCCAAAAAATTTATGCTTTCTTTCGATAATCCCGTCCCGAACCGAAAATTAGATTATAATAATTAATAATCAAATTATATTATTAAATATACAATTCTAATTATTATAGGCTGTTAGATTTGGTTGATCATTCATTTATAATTAAAACTCTCTTGAGTCGCTTGTCTTCATTCTGTTTCTCTCTCCACTTTTCTTCGCTCTTCTCCGCCCAAACCCGAATCTCTCTCTCTCGACTAGCCTCCTCCTCAGTCCTCCCAGGAGTACCACTCCATCCAATTCCTTGCCCGACTCGCAAATCTACCACCCACACCATTCATACACTTTGATTCTCCCTCTCTCTCTCTCAAGTCTAAATTGGACCAAGTCTCTCGGTCTCGGTTTCACCGTCGCAGATCCTCGCCTGGAATTCTTACGACGAGAAGCCACGTTCATGGAGAGGCGTCGTTAGGGCGCCGCCGCTGACAATTTCTAGGGTTTGATTTATAGGACTCGAATTATTTTCATCTGTGGTTGATTTTTAGGTTTGTGAAAATTTGGGATTTCTGAAATTTTGATTGTTTCTGGAATTGTATTTCTGCAAATGTCATTTGCAACATCTTAAAGATTTCCCCCGTGCCGAAATCTTTCCCCCCCAAAATCTTAAAGATTTCTGCAATTGTCATCTGCAATTGTTATTTACAACTCGCATACAACCATGTGTATGTCTTGGGTTGCATGAGGTCGTAAGCAATCAGTGGCAGGGAAGAAAAATTTCGTAACGCTAATGCCATAATGTACACAATATTTGATGATGCTGAAGACATTTGAACTTGATATCTAATAGCAATGGTCTTTCATATCCCAAGCGGTTAACACGGCTTAGTTATGAACTCCAAGTCTTGTGTTTGAAAGCAGAAAACATCTTGAAGACAAGGTCTAGTAAAAATTAAAAACTCATGGAGGGCTTTTTGACTACTGTCGCTTCTTTTTCTGAGAGATGGGGGGCCGAACGATCAGAGTTAGCGTGAGAAAGAAGACGGCAGCAGTGACTAGCCCCCTCCATCCTCCCAGATGGCAGTTATTGCCTCTATCCCTCGCTGCTGCAATTTTGTGATCAACATCGTTCTGTTGCTCTTCTTCTTTGTCTGAAAAACATACAAATAACAGAAAATTTAGAGAAAAATGAAATGAATACGGGGAGACCCCTAAGTGCTTTAATGGAGCATAATTTACCTGACTCCATGATGAGGGTATTCAACCATTTCGGCCTACAGAAATCAACATTTTTCATTTCTGCTTCATCGAACCAGGATAAGAAGTATCTTCCTGATATGTGCTCCAGCGGTGACAAATCTCCACCGATGACAAATGGATCATTAGGATCTGGAGTGGTGTTGTGTTGGGTACTCATCTTGTCTTGGTGCTCTTGCACAAGCTCAACCCCGAACTCCTTTACCCGAATAAACTTATCAGGTCTCGTCGTCATGACGGAAACAACCACTTCATCTCCACATTCTAATATTATTGTCTGATTGTCCGTTTTCCAATGGCTCAACCATGTCAAATCTCCTCCTCTATTTCCTCGACCACGGTATAATCGTGGGCCATAGATCCATTTCATACCCTTGCTCTTGTTACTCACTTCAATATTCATTACTGGATCACGACCCGAATGTCCCAAACTTACGTATGCATGGTTATGGTTTTCATGGATAGCAAAGATGTTCAAGCCTCGAATTTTGTGACTTGTAAGAAAAGGCACAATAAAAGAAATTGAGGACTTGGTACTTTTATAGCTGAACCGGCCAGGAACCTCATTCCCAGCAAAAAATGTGCTGTATATACCATGTTGATGCAGTCCCTGTGTACATGGCACGGAAACGACTTTATTAGGCAACTCTTTCCGATAAGAGAGAGAGAGAGAGAGAGAGAGAGAGAGGCACCTGAACGGGACTCCAAATCCAATCAACACGTTTAAAATTTTGCAAGCCGAAACTTTTCCTCATTTCCTAGTTGTGCAAGCTCAAAAGTTTCATCATTTCCACATCAACTCTGCCAATAGGTTCTAACTTGTGATAGTACTCCCACTCAATTACATTGTTGTTCTCACCCTCATAGGTCAATGCTCTCAACTCATTGGCTTGATATGTTATAGTTTTTAATGATATGCAACCATTTACACAAAGGAGTCCAATTTTCGGCAACCCCACAAGTGATTCGAGCCTCTTACATCTCGATAAAGAGAGACAACGGAGCCTCCTCAAACCTTTGATGAAAACAGGTAGGCTAGAAATTGGATTATCCTCTAAATATAGTTGTTGCAACGAGGATAGATTACTTAAATCCATAGCAAAGGCATCATCAGAAAGATTGCACCTACTAAGGTTTAACTTTACTAAAGAACATGGCAAATAAGTCAAGATACTCGAACTTGTACCAGGCCGTAATTCACTTAGAATACCATCTGTTTCGAGAGCTTTCACAGATTCCATCTTCTTCATCATCTCATCAAGATTTGAGCAACCAGATAAATTGAGTGTTTCTAGTGATTTTAGCATGCACATGTTAGGAAGCATCCTAAGATTCTTGCAATCCTCCATATTCAAGTACACAAGTCTCTCTAGGTTTCCAATGGATTCATGAACATCAAGCAGGCTTTCGCAATCTACAAGAATCAATTCCTCTAGATTGGGGCAGTATGAGAAGTCCACGGTTTGTCTAAGGCCATGAGAATGGCTCACATCAAGGATCTTCAATGAAGGAAGAAACTGCAGGAAAAAAAATTAAAATAAAGAAAAAAAACAGAGAAACAAAATTTGTGGGAGTTAATTCTAACATATGAAATTAGTCAACGAATCAAAACTTAAAAAAGCAAAAGAAGGAAAATGAATTGAGATGCGTAAAGTAACATACTTTTGTTCCTTTGTAGACTTGTGTCAAGTTACTAAATTGCATTTCAAGAACAATTAGGCACTCCAAAGGAAAATCAATGGGTATAGAATCCAAAGGAAATTCAGGCCAACACAACCATCTTAATCCTGTAGGGAAATTTGCGTAATATCCCTCTAGCCGTACACGTCTAAGATGGAGTAGTTGTAATTTGTGCATCCTTTCAAATGCATTGGTTTCAAAGACTGTCTCATTTGTGTTTATTGGACCGTTTGCAGGATGCGAATGCATGTCCAGGACAATACCTTGGATTGTTTCTGTACCCTAAAGAAAAAAAGGGAACAACATTAATATGGATAATTTTCACAAGAGAAAAACATATATATATATATATATATATATCTAAAAGGCATGTTTCTACTTACAGTCTTTTCCCTCAGTACTTGGAAGGAATCCTTACGACGCCATAGTCTACTACGTTTCTCAGGCTCTTCTGATTCTAGGCGAACTATTTCTCTTCCCATATCACGAATCAGATCGTGCATGTTCACCTTGTTGTCTGTATCAATTTTCACCAAGCATCTATCAATGAGATTTTGAATGCCAACAGTTGTATAGAAATCACATCCATCTAGTATTCTAACAACGTAGTTTTTGTCCCTTCCTATTAGGAAACAAGCAATGTGGAGGAATAATTTCCGGTCATGGTCATCTTGTAAACTGTCATAGCTTATTCTTAGTTTATTCATGATTTCGCCGTTAGGAATAACTTTTAGCTTCTCCAATGCACTTTCCCACACACCCACACTTTCACCTAACAGAGAAGAACCCAAAACTTGAAGAGCTAATGGAAGTCCTCCAGTATGTTGCACTAGCTTTTTTGAATATTCCATGTAACCTTCAGGCGGATGGTCCTGGCCAAACGCATGCCAGCTTAAGAGCTCCAACGATTCATCGTAATCCAAAGTTTCAACTTCGTGGACCTTAGTAACTTGGTGCGCCTTTAGCAACCTTTCATGCCTTGTTGTTATGATTATTTTACTTCCGGGATAAAACCGATCTTTCATCCGTAGTACTGCATCTAATTGGTCCTTATGGTCTACATCGTCAAGAACAAGAAGAACCCTTCTAGAGCTTATGGCTCTTACAATCTTACTTATTCCTTCACTGACGTTGTGCACTTTCTCCTTCTTCCCCTTCAAAATATCATAAAGAAGTTGCATTTGCATTTGAACTAACCCGTTCGGTTGACTTGCCGTTTCTCTGATATTTTCAACAAAGCTGCTCCCTTCAAAACTTGTAAAATTTGAATTGTAAACATATTTAGCAATTGTTGTCTTCCCTATTCCAGACATCCCATGCACAGCAACTATACCAACATCAGTTGATCCATCTTGTAACCATAAATTGATGTGTTTGACTCGAGATTGGATTCCAATCAAGTTGGATTCAACACCCAAGGGCATGCGAATTAGCTTGTCACCAATCACCTTGACAATTTTTGTGATAAACTTTGACTCGTACCTACGAATTTGAAAAAAAAGAAAAGAAATATAAATCAAACATGTTGTGTACCTAAGAAAGTTACAAAGGTAACAACTGGAAGGATGCTAAACTTACACATTATTTTGACAGCATATCTTAATTAGTTAAAAATAAAAATGAAACTTTGTTGACAATATGAAACAAGGGAAAACGAAATTATGAAAGTTATTATATGCACTTTTAGAAAAAGAATTATTGTATACACAGAGGTCAAGTCTAGATAACCAAACTATTTTAAACTGAGAGGGGATTCGAACTCGAGACCTGTAGAACACATGGGTTTAGAGAGACAAGAACAAATTGTTCATGTGAAAAAAGAAGGCAAAACAAATTGTTGGTTAAAAATAAATTAACCTTCCAATATTGACACTAGAAAGATAAAAGAGAGCAAATGAAAGTTACCCATCAGCTTGATTTGATAAGACCATCCCTGCTAGATCAGCAAGCTCTGCAAGTGCCTCCCTCCATCCCCGCACCTTATTCGGCGACTGAGTTTTCTCGTGACTTGCAAATGCTTTTCCGATGCTTCCCGTCTGCTTCCTCGCATGGGATGGATCGACATCGTAGAAGACTGGTAATACTACATGGTCCGAGGTAGTCCTCTTGCGTTCAAGGATCATGACAAGCTCATCAAGGCACCATCCGGATGACGCGTAATCTTTCGAAAACACGACAACAGACGTTTTTGATTGCCGGATTGCTTTCTGTAGTCCTGGCTTGATATCTTCTCCTCTCTCAAGTTCGTCGTCATCTCGGAAGGTGAGAAATCCTTTGTTGTTCAAGGCTGTGTAGAGGTGGTCGGTAAAAGTCCTGCGAGTGTCTTCGCCTCTGAAACTCAAGAAAACATCGTAACGGTAACCCCAATGAGTGTTGGAATCGGAGGATGTTCCTCGAGCTGCTCTCACAAGCGCCATAGTTTACGATCGATGAAGAAACAAAATAAATGCTGTGTCTTTGCCAGGGAAATATTTAAGGCTCTAATTAGTTGGCTCATTCCTATCTACTTCCTGGAAAAATTGCAAGTGAAAACGCGTCTGATCTTTTTGTAATTGACTCGTTTTATTCAAAGCAAAGTCACTTGGGTCGTTCTAGTCAAAGCAATTATTATTGTTAATTGGGGCGTTTTAGTCAAGCAAATGAAAATTTTAAATCTTTAAATGGGTCATTCGTTCTATCTTTTTAGATCATATTTTGTAAACTAAATGATGTGATAAATGATGGTTAGATTCCAATTTTAATGTTAGTAGAAAGAATCAAACCATCAACCGTCACATCATGTGGTTTACAAATATGATCTCAAAAGATGATCGCTCTAGCATCACCAAAAAAAGTATACGAACAAGTTTCACAAAAAATATGAGGTAAAGTTGTGAGTCACTCTGAATAGTACTTGCCTTACTACTTGTCATTATCCAATACTTATATCCACTCATTTTTTTTTATTAGATTCTTAACCATTTTTATAGTGCAACGTGTCATTTATCCAATCTTATGGTTTCCTCATATTTCTCCGTAAAAACCCTTTAAACCACCACATACACCGACACCAAGCCTCCTCCATTCTCCCTACTCATCTCAACCAACCCTCAAGCAAAATAACGTCTTTGCCAATCTCGACCAAATTGCCTTCTCAGTCATGTTTTTGTTAAAAAAAAAATAGATTTGGAAAGTGGAAACAAATATAGATGGTCATAGTAAAAATAATTATTGAGTTGTGATGTCGATATGGAAAAGATGGTTGGGTTTTTATAGAATAACAAAAAAAATCCTAATTTTTTCAATTAATTGTTTTGTCATTGGATTAATCATGGTTCTTGATTTTATACTCATCTGAATTCCGACTCACCTGAAAATGCCATGCGACACAAATGTAACTTTAAAAAAAAATATCATTGGAAATCCAACGTCCAGAACATTCTGCTATTAGAATCCAATGACTTATACCCATAACCGTTTATTTATCTAAATGGTTACCCATAACCGTAACCATTTAATTTAAATGGATGGGTAACCGCAGTTACCCATAACCAATGAGTATTTGTCCATCCCTAATTGTGGCGGGCCGAAGACAGCTAAAGTTATCGTGCCACTGACAGAGTTCACGTGTACATTGCATATGTCAGACACCAAAAAAAAAAAAAACCACGTGGTTGATGTCATGCTAATGTCAACCTTGCCCACTGAATGGGCTTTACATGGCCCACCACTTACCGACATGTTAGATTGTTGCAACGAGCCGCACGATAAGAAGTTGTTAAGTTCACGCGTTCATTGCACATGCCAGACAAAAAATAAAAATAAATAAATAAATCACGTGGCTCATTCCTATCTACTTCCTGGAAAATTTGCAAATGAAAACTCGTCTGATCTTTTTGTAGTTGACTCGTTTTAGTCAAAGCAAAATTAGTTGGGTTGTTTTATTCAAAGCAATTGTTATTAATTGGGGCTTTTTAGTCAAGAAAATGAAAACGCGTCTTAAAGCATTTCTAATAGAAATGTTAAAAAAATAAATGTCAAATGTTAATTTAATGGCTAGTGTGGCAATGTCATATTTTTTTTTTTTTCCACCCGATATGATTTTTTGTTATAAATGATATTTGTATAACTCACTTTAAAAAGAAACCAATTAAAATAAAATTTCAAGGTCTATAATTGGTGCATTAATGGGGACTAGGATCCTCTCCTGAGCTAAGGATGAGGATCCTCCTCATCAAGGGATGTGGGCCGTTGGATGAAAATCCAACGGCTACAATTATTATAACTTTAAAGGGGACCTCTCTGTTTGTAGCCGTTTAATTTTCATTCAACGGTCCACATCAATTGATGAGGAGGATCCTCATCCTTAGCTCAGGAGAGGATCCTGGTCCAATTAATGGATTCTCACAATAAAATAATTAAAAATGATTTGACATCATTTTTTCTCATATGTCAAATTTGACGTATGAAAACTCATATGCCAATCTACAATCGTTTGGAGTTTGCTCCTACCTTTAAATTTGACTACATGACATTATATTTAGGATTTGACATCTTTTGAAATGATTTTTTCTTTTTGTATAATTGAAGACAGAGACCCAATACAACTTAATTATCTTTGACCAAAAAAAGCAAAAGACAGACCCAATACAACTTCATTATTTGTGTTGTTTTTTATCCAATGCTTACTAAAAAAAATGTAAATTAGAACTGATTTATATATATTAAGAAAAAAAATGCAAAAAATAATAAAGAAAACTTTGGAGCTAACTACTCATAAGAGACTAGAATGCCCTCATCAAATGGCGTGAGGTTCACATTTGTTATACATGCAGTTCAACCATCAAGAAGACCTAAGCTGCTTATTGCGACTTCTTCAAGCTCTCATGCCCATGATGGTAAAATAAGTCAAAGATATTAAATATATGATTAATAACAAAATCATATCTTTAAAGCTTTCTCTATTGAAGACAGCTTAATCAAGTCAAAATTACAATAAATCCAATCAAGTATTCTATAAGACAATTCCAAGATATTATTTAATAAAAATATTTTTGGGATAATTTTGTCCTACCGCATTTTCCATATAAATACCTTATTGTACACCAAATTTTGATAAGCTTTTGCTGCGGAATAAAGCTGTAAACTCTCTCTTTTTTTTTCTTTTTTTCTTTTTCCAGAAATAACTAACTTGAGGACAAGATCGACATGGTGGGACCAATGTCTCTTGGTACTGGGACAGAGGCATGATGATCATAGCGACCGACTACTTCACCAAATGTGATGAAGCTAAATCCGTGATGACAACTACCCGGATGGACATAACATCATTTGCTAAATACGAATCTCGCATTCCATCATCACCACCTAAACCTCATTCAGGCTTATCCGAGCAGTTCGAAGTCTCAAGAAATAGCCAAACAAGTCCTCACAGGCTAATGACTATTTCAATTGTTTTGCAGTCTTGTTTTGCTCAACTGCACTCACAACGACTTCCATGCTCTCCAGTGCGAGAGGGTAAACTAATCACCAACGAGTGTCTAAATCAGAGGAGGTTCCTTGAGCTGCTCTCACAAGAGCCATTGATTACGATCGATGAACTAATAAAAAACTGCTACCTGAGAAAAAATTAAATCTTTAACTGGGTCATTTGTTCCATCTTTTTAGACCATATTTTGTAAATTAAATGATGTGATAGATGATGGTTAGATTCCATTTTTAATGATTAGTAGAAAGAATCAAACCATCAACCGTCATATCATGTGGTTTACAAATATGGTCTCAAAAGATGGTCGCTCTACCATCACCAAAAAAAGTTTACGAACAAGTTTCACAAAAAAAAAGAGAGGTAAAGTTGTGACTCACCACACACATTATTAGTTGGCTCGTTAAGAGTAGTTCCATCAGTTTAGGGAGGGCAATGGTAAGGCATTTAACTTCCCTTATTATTCACTCTGAATAGTACTTACCTTTGTGCACTTCCACCTGTTAGATAAGGGCAAAGACAAGGGCAAGGTGATTGATATTCACAAAGCAAATCTTGGTTTTCGTTTTCCTTGTGACGGGCTTGGAAGAGGGGGACATGCCAAGTATCCGCTTGGGAACATGTCTTCTTAGGGCTATTGTGGATGTATAATTAGGGCTGGAAAAAAATCCCAAAAATCCCAAACCAAACCGAAAAATTTCCGAAACCAAACCGAAAAAATCCCAAACCGAAATTCCCGAAAATTTCGGTACCCAATACCGAACCGATCCTGAAGTTTCGGTACGGGAATCGGTCTCAAGTTTTTGGGATTTCGGTATTCCCAAACCAAACCGAAAAAAAATATATATTATTTAATTTTTAAATATATATTTAGATCGATAGAGTCCATAGAAAATGAAGGCTTCAATAGTTGCACATATTTCTGTATGAATGATTTAAATCGACAGAGTCTTGCAATTGTAGCATCTACATTTGAATCCAGATTGGCAAAGTCTTGCAATTGTAGCATCTACATTTAAATTGACATAACTTGCAATTGGCACATATTGCAACGGGCTTCTTAGCAGATTGCAACCCAAAAGTGTTAAAAGGTTCAATTTTAGCCCAAAAACATAATATTTTAGTCCAAAAGCCCAAAAGCCCAAAATCATTTCGGGATTCCCGATTTGTCCCGAAATCCCGAAACTATTTCGGGATTCCCGAAAATTGGGATTCCCGAAAATTTGGTTTGGGATCGGTATTGAAATTGGGATTCCCGAAATTTTTGGTTTGGGAATCGGGACAAAGGTTTCGGTATGGGATCCCATACCGAACCACCCCTATGTATAATGCAATTTCAATAGTAATATTCCATTTCAGCTGGAAAATGCAGTCAGATGTTACGTGTCATGTTCGCCTTAGATTTTTTATTAGATTTTCAACCACTCTCGTCATGCTACGTGTCATTATCCAATACTAATATCCGCTCATTTTTTTTATTAGATTCTTGACCATTTTTATAGTGCAACGTGTCCTTTATCCAATCTTTTGGTTTCCTCATATTTCTCCGTAAAAACCCTTCAAACCACCACATATACTCACGCCAAGCCTCATCCATTCTCCCTACTCATCTCAACCAACCCTCAAGCAAAATAACGTCTTTGCCAATCGACCAAATTGCCTTCTCAGTCATGTTTTTGTTGAAAAAAAAAAATGATTTGGAAAGTGGAAACAAATATAGATGGTCATAGTAAAAATAATTATTGAGTTGTGATGTCGATATGAAGAAGATGGTTGGGTTTTTATAGAATAACAAAAAAAAATCCTAATTTTTTCAAATTTTAATTGTTTTGTCGTTGGATTAATCCTGGCCGTTGATTTTATACTCATCTGAATTCCGACTCACCTGAAAATTCCATGCGACACAAATGTAACTTTAAAAAAAAAATTACCATTGGAAATCCAACGTCCAGAACATTCAGCTATTAGAATCCAACGACTCATAGCTTGCCACATCATAAAGCTGTTGGTGGTTATTTATTGTTAGACTGTGGCGGGCCGAAGACAACTAAAGTTA